CCCGGTGACGACCAAGCCCAGTTAACAACTTATGATAACCAGCTCAAAGCAGTAAAAAGGAACCATTACAATGGTGAGCATCCACCTCATAGCGAGCTCAGCTACCACCATGCTGGCTAACATAATACAAAGGACAGGGCCCTTAAAATATGCTAAGATTAAAGCATTTTATCAACCTTAGCATCACCCAAACATCAAGCATATCCAACACTATCGTTGAAATGCTAAACGTCTATCACTGAAAAAGCAACACAAGAGGCTGGGCAAATGGCTGGCTCACGCCGTGGTAATCTAGCACTTTAGAGGCCAAGGGCGGGTGGTCACTAACGGTCAGGAGTTCAAGACCAGCCTGGCAAGAGCCCCGTGAAACCCTGTCTCCCTACTAAACACCATACAAAAAATCTACGCACCAACACCGCCACCACCAAACAGAGTGTGGTGCGGCAGTGCCATATAATCCAGTCCTCTCAAGGCTGAGCATAGAACAGGCAGAAAAAAAAAAAAAAAAAAGCAACCAGAGCAGAACCTGGAGTTTGTCTGGGCCAGTGGTCCAAGCCTTTTGGGGAGAAGGCGGGGCCGTTTTCCCCACTGTTTCACTTTACTCATGCCGGATTTCTGAGGGACCCTTGAAACTAGCTTTCTGTCTCACAGAGGGACGTGAATCCTGGATAAATCAGCCAATGTTTGGTTCAGAAATTCTCCTAGGGTGTGATCATCTGATACGTTGCATGTTCTAACACAACAGACAAAGGCGCTGGGTGTGGTGGCTTATGCCTATAATTCCAGCACTTTGGGAGACCAAGGCAGAAGGATCACTTGAGGCCAAAAGTTCGAGACCAGCCTGGTCATTTTAAGCAATTCCTACACCAAAGAAATCCTCCAGCCAAACAAATCTTTGTGTTCAAAAGTAAAAATAGCTTCTCAAATTTTCAGTCATGAAACAAGCCAGTAACAACTTATGATAACCCAGCTCAAAAGAGTAAAAAGGAACCATTACAATGAGTGAGCATCCCACCTCATAGGCCTCAGCTACCACCATGCTGGCTAATATCGTGTACTAAACTGTATGACTCCCAATTCATTT